ATTTTTGTTATTGTTTATATTAAAAATATCTACAGTATATATTTGTGCTGATAAGCCTGAGTGGTCTGTTGACTGACCTTTGTTTTTGTTTAAATAATTGTTATGGGCAGGTTACAATATAAAAATGTTTGTCATAATCATGTCTTGTGATTTTTTGACAGGAGTTTTACTTTTAAACTGTCAGTGTATTTAATTTAGTTATGTTAGTTATGATAGTTTAGTTGTGATGTAAATACAATAAAAATTAAACCAAGATTTAGAATAATTATCATTTTGATCCATACATTGGTCATGTCTGACTGGGCCTCGTATATGTTCAACAAATTGGGCCCCAAGGTCAAAAAGGTTAAGAACCCCTGCCTTAAAACTTACAGTATACTGAACACAGGTAGCCAACTTAATATGTATAGCTAATATTGACTAAATCTCTTTGGTGAGGGATGGGTGAAGAGTTTTGGTACAGAGGCAGATTGCTAACATTAGCTAGCTAGCTTTGCTAACATCACTTAGCTTATCTTTCTTTGTTTTTCCTTTATAAATGACAATAAAAGTTTGACGTAGTTCCCGCCATCTCTGAAAGCAAAGTACTGGAGACTGTACAAGTCCCTGTATGCTTTCTCCTGGATGTTGTTTTATACATTTATTTTTTATGAGTCATGTCGCCAAATTGTATTACTGAAGATTTTGCAGACATCTTCTCCCGCTTCCAGACAACCACTGCTCAGTTTCTCAGAGTGCCACATGTGTGTGAAAGCAATGCAGTCACGCTTGGATTTGAATCAGTACGCTTTACAACCAATGAAAGTAATGATGTTAGCAAATAAATTGGACAATAATCTGGCAATTTAGTGACATTTCTACAGTTGTGGTCGACTGGTCTTGAAATAAAATCAAGAGTCTTCAATGTCCGAGAAAAGATAGAGTGCAAATGTGGTCAAATCCAATATGAGACCAAGACCATCATAAAGTGGTTTTGAGACCGGTCTCAAGTACTACAACGCTAATATTTAGCACCATGACACAACGAGAGTATTAAAGTATAGAAATAAGAAAGAACAGTCAAATGTCTCTTTCCATTTCAGTGCYGGCGTCGGCCGAACGGGCTGCTTTATAGTCATCGATGCTATGCTTGAGCGCATCAAGCACGAGAAGACGGTGGACATTTATGGCCATGTGACGCTGATGCGCTCGCAGCGGAACTACATGGTGCAGACAGAGGACCAGTACAGCTTCATTCACGACGCACTGCTGGAGGCGGTGGCCTGTGGGAATACTGAAGTGGCCGCCCGCAGCCTCTACTCCTACATCCAGAAGCTGGCCCAGGTGGAGAGCGGCGAGCACGTCACCGGGATGGAGCTGGAGTTCAAGGTACAGAAATGGAGGAATTACCGTAATAACCCAATCGTTTTTTATTCTGGATTCATACTATTATTACCTTTTTTGAAAAATAAAAATTACTTTTGGGCTTTAGCCTCAAAAGGATGAAACACCTTCCTCAGAGATCCTCTGAGTCGCCTGGCAAAAAGAGCTGASGTGTCTTTATTAGAGACTAATGACTGAAATCAATAGAGCAACATTAGGTTTTTGTCACCCTAAAAGCTTTCTAAAAGAGCCTGGCTTTACTGTTTTTTTTTTTCTAACATTGAAGTCATTTTGGCTCTTAATCTAATTTTCCTTCTCTTTTTTATTATTTTAATTTTTAATTTTATTTTTTTCTGCATCCTTATTTTTTGCCATGAGTCTAATTATTACTTGCAGTCACTTGACTTAAACATCAAGAAAACCTTTTTTTAACTTAGCTATTTTAACAACCTAACCATGTTTCTTAGTTTAGTTTTAAGCAAGTGGTGTTGTCGYCAAAGTACGATATTAGAAAACAAATCACAATGAGCAATAACTGGGAGAATGAATTTTAATAAAGTAAGGCTGCACTGTAGAGCAACGTTTTCTAAGTACCTCATGCAAACTTTCCTCGGAGTCAGACAAAGGCGAGATGAATGTCACTTGTGAGGCTCAGGAAAAGAAAAGGCATGTATTCTCACAGAGTTTGCCTTTTAATATAGACTCCTTCCTCTTGAAGATGCAATCCTTTTCAGTCCCAGGTAAGAAAGAAAATAAATTAAACTTCTCTTATTTGCATTGCAGTCGCTTGCCAGTTTGTAGTTAATAAAATTCTTGATGCACTAGAAAAAAAACTCATTTAATTTCCTGAGGCTAACTTAAATTCTCAGCCTAAATAGATATTAAATTAGATATTGTGCATTTTTTTAACTAGAAAGTGAAAATAATCATTTATTTTTTAACCAACACTGATACTGTGTGGGACCAATATTCATGTGTTCTAACCCACATGGAGAAGAGGTAGAACTTTCAGCTGCGTTTAGGGCATAGAAAGAAACGATGCATGATTTTACGCAGGAACTAATGAGAAAGGAAGAAGTAATGATAAACAAGAAGGTTCAGTGTGTACGCAGATGTCCACCGCATACGTTAACAATCGTACACTTACGAACTCACCTCAGCCTCTGTGCTGCAGTCACTATCTGCTGACCTTGGACTGCATGCACTCTCATTTTCAAATCATCCGTCATCTTCACATTGCCATTTATCAGGGCAGCCTCCCTGCCAGGAAACAATAATATTGCTGGTGTGTTTCGACCTTTTTTTTTTTTTTTGGTCTGGCACACACACAAGTGAAGGAATATCCTGCAATTTGTAACAGGGGCAATGCTGAACCGGTGTCAGGAGCCAAACTGGGATTAATAATGTTGACATTACAGTCAAGACAGAGGGAGGAAGTTTGTGTGAAGAAGGCTAGGAGAGCTAAGTAATTAATCTTTGATTATGAAAAATAGAGGCCATTGAAAGAAGAAGCAGAGGCAGAATGTTTCCAGCTAATGAGCAAAGGCGTACTGGTATGCTAACTTGGAAGTAAGGTGATGCCACAGAAAAGTGCATGATGGGAATAGGATGGAAGACATTTTGGCTCTGGCGTTGCCTTTAGAGTTAAGCCATGACTGGGGGAATTTGCGAGCGTTGAGCAGGGAGAGTAATTCCACTAGCAGGATYTGTGTGGTGAAGCTGTCAGGCAATCACTTTGTTGTACGCTGTATGTGCATGAACAGCAAGAGTAATCACCAAACTATTTATGCACGAAACCCACTTGCAGAAAGTATTCAGCGGAGTTCAGAACATGAGTTACAAGACAAACAGAAAGGAGCTACCAGGCTGCTGGGATCCATTTCTAATTAAACAGCACAGGAATTGTTTGGAATTCACCAGTTGAGTTTTAATTGGGATCCAAATGCAAACAGGAAGACAAAGATATTCTGTTCGAAGCGATGCTGGTAATTTCCCACAAGTTTACATCGTAATCCTTTTCTAACACAATGCAGAACACAATACGGAGAAAAAAATAAGGTTTGGGAAATTTTTTATGATGGATTCGTAATAGATGCTACATACTATCCAATATATTTGATTATAGGTTAAAAAACTGTGTCACCCAGTTTCACATTAGAACTATGCAATAAATCGTTTGAGCATCCTCATTGCAATCTACATGTTTGTAATTGTCACACGCCAGGTCCTGCGATGTAGGTGGCAAATTAGATCTACATGTGATGTAGGGACTAAAACTCAGGGACTTTCAGGGAAATTTCATTTTCAAACATAGACTTAATACATATATCATGTATGTAGACATACAATGAAGGGTTGGGCAAAATTGTATTGTGTGCAATTACTCGTCAGAAAAACTTTAATTGATTATTTTTTGGCGCTTGATGATTATTAAGATTAAATGCCACCAGGCAGACTGACTGGAGATTTCCCCGGTCAGTCCACTCTGTGCAACTCTACGCTTCAAATATGACGAACATTTTTAAAAGGTTCTGTAATTTATTTATCMTAACTCTGGTTTTACTTGGTCAATCAACACAATTTAAAATAGATGTACAGCCTGAAGTCTGTACTTTTGACACAATTTGGAACAGATTTTTACAGAGAGCAAGTCTTTCCCACTAGAGTGATTTCAATTGGTCATGTGACAAGGATATCAAGGCGTCCAGGGACTCCAGGGGATTAATCGTCATATTAATCGTTATGGCCTAAATAACCACAATTAATCGTGATTAACTTTTTTGCCAGTATCACCTAACCCTATTCATATGTTAATTTAATTATAATGCTAATACCAACTTTAACTTGTGAAAAATGTTCCTGATTTTATATTTTTATCTTTTTAGTTTCTGTTTTATTGCAGATCTTGACCGAATTCTTCGGATACCACAAAAATGTTTAGCATACCTTAAACACAAGCCCAAATCATGATGGGTCTGTTGGATAATTAGACTGAGAGGTGTTCTTTTTATGACTATCTCCACTTTTTTTTTTCTTCTGCCCATATCTCTGGTAATTGCAGCCAAAATGTTCTTTGTGACTTTTTCAGCTCACAAGACTTGTTTCTGAGAAAATTCATCAGGCTCATTCAGATTCTGGCTCTGAGTATCATGGTGGGGGGGTGCACAGGGGTGGTTATTTTTACTCAGCTCTCTGCACAGAACAGTGCACTACCATTTCAGAGTCTGTTAAATCTTTCTGAAGGTCTTTAACTGTCAGCGGGGACTTTAATTTGCCCTTCAAGCAATCCTGTAACTAGTTCTCGTGGAAAGATTTCTCAGTCTTCCAGACCTCAACTTGACCTTCACAGTTTTTGTGAAAGAAACATTTGATAGCTGAATTACAAACTGAGAAAACACATTTTTGAAAATCGTTGAGTATGATCTTATTGCCAAGCATAGGCATCGAATTGATAAAAGTTGTTTGAGATCTTAGTTTAATCCATCTAAACTAGTGTTTTTTTATACTTGTTAAAGATCAGTGTATTAACCAGTCTAACAAATACAGTAGCTTCTTAAATAAACCAGAAAAAAGAAAACAAATTGAGTAAAGCAGAATTATTATGGAGCAACAGTCCTAATTTTTGTGGCGCACCATCCAGTTGACCGAACACACTGTACTATTAAAGGGAAGGAGCTGGCAGTCACGACTAGAAAGTATGTTTCTGCCTTGCCGCTTGCCAGGTTTGGCTCAGTGCCCCGAACGCTCTGCGGTGTTTAGTGTTGTAGCCGAGGCCCTCTTTAGCAGCGCCAGACCAGCTCGAGCCTTTCCAGGTGCTTATGTGTTAAACAGATCAAAAAGAAAACCGTTGAAAGAGACCAAGTCAAGTGAGGAGGAGAAGAGGAAAAGTCTGGAGGAACCTCAGGCCAAAGAGACAGCTGTATGGATTTTAGAAAGCAAACGTGAGAAAGAGATTAAAAAATAAAAAAAAAACTTAATGGTATTTGGTGCAGATAAAAAGAGATATAAGTTTTGACAACCATGTGAAGCAAAGAAACTGAAAAAAGTTGTGTATTTTTTGATGGCTAACGAGAAAGCACACAACACAAATTGCCTTTGTTGAAACACTGAAGCCTCGAAAATTTGATCGCTGAAACTGCTGACCCCTAGATCTCCCTTTGAGTTTGTTATGACAGTGATGATGATGCACCATCACTTTTTTTTTGTTTTGATCACTATATTGTCTGTGTGTGTGTGTGTGTATGCGTTCCCTGAGCATCCCTGTTTTATGTGCACAAGCCATGCTGCCAATATCAAAGRCGCCAGTGACCCACTTTTAGGGGAGTTTTCTATTTCATACAGACTTGATGCAGAGGCTTGTTAGTCTGTGTGCACGCCATATTTTCCTCTCTTTTCTTCTGACCCTGCGTGACCTCACAAGTTGCAAACTGCGGACCAACTTTTACAATTTTTCTTGTTTTAAAAACGATGTTGCTTTGAAGTCCTCAAAGCGCGATCAGATTCAGATTGGATGTGCTTTGTTGCTTACTTTCATTGATATTCTACGCTGTTTTTAATCTGCCTGGCACCTGTTTCCCTCATCCTCCTTCACTTTTTTTATTTAATCATCCTCCGCTGGTCCTTTCTCTCCTCCCTAACTCATATTTTTTCTATTCTGTTTGTAACTACTGTGTAAATTACCAGCTCCGTCTTTCTTCTTTCCAGCACTTTCCTGTCTTTTCAACACACTTTCCCCTCCTCTGAATCGCTCCATCATTCTCTCGTCAAGCCATTCTTCCTTTAAAAGTAATAAACGTTCTCCCCCCTGCTTTTCCTCGCCAGCGTTTGGCCAACTCCAAAGCCCATACATCACGCTTCATCAGTGCCAACCTTCCCTGCAACAAGTTTAAGAACCGGCTGGTCAACATCATGCCCTACGAGACCACACGTGTCTGCCTGCAGCCAATCAGAGGCCTGGAAGGCTCTGATTACATTAATGCCAGCTTCATTGATGGATACAGGTAGGAGAGCTGTGACGGAGTTTTGTGTTTCTCATGAGAGCAAGATGAGCTTCACAGGATTTAAGTTTTTGTTGCGTGGTTATAATATTTTTTGAATTAAGCTGATTTTATTATGGCGTTGTGATAAACAGGCAGCAGAAGGCTTACATCGCCACACAGGGGCCTCTAGCAGAGACTACAGAAGACTTCTGGAGAATGCTCTGGGAGAACAATTCCACTATTGTAGTCATGTTGACCAAACTTCGAGAGATGGGGCGGGTAAGGCTTCGATTTTATTTAGTCTGTATTTTTTTTTTCGATTTTGCGTTGAAAACAAAAATGGCAAAAAAAAATCTTCTGCATGTATGTTTCTCACAGGAAAAGTGTCACCAGTACTGGCCAGCAGAGCGCTCAGCCAGGTACCAGTACTTTGTGGTGGATCCTATGGCCGAGTATAACATGCCTCAATACATCCTCCGGGAGTTCAAGGTCACAGATGCCAGGGTAAGACATTCAGGGTTTGGGGATTTTTGGTGAGATTTGCTGGTTTAAGTCGTTGCAGTAAGTTAAGTGAAATATCAGGTTGAGATTTTTGCAGGCTCCTGCAGCTGGCAGAAACAATAGTTTGGTCTTCCAAAAAGAGCTTTGCATATAACTAGAGACAGCATGTCCTAAAAGATGTAAACTGATCTGTGTCCTGTTTACTTTTTTGTATAATAATCTAATTTAATTTGTATTAAAACACATTTTAGCTCTTAAGTAAATGCACTCTGCAAAACCGGAGCACAGTTGGGATATTTTATCTTAGTATACTGTATGTCCTGATGCATCTCAATAATCCAAGTAGAAAAATCTAAAACAAAAAATTGAATAGGCTTTTGTTTCAACGAAGAAGAACTCAGAGTAATTTCACAATATTTTTATAGATATCTCAGTAAATGTATGTATATATACACTCACCGGCCACTTTATTAGGTACACCTGTCCAACTGCTCGTTAACACTTAATTTC